ACACACACAACCCTCTGTATTCCCTTCACCACTTGAATTCCGGATGAATCCGATGAATCTTGATAGAAGCTTCATCAACTACGTGCCAAAAGGAGGATAACAACCCAAGGGGATAATGCACGAAGCTACCAGGATGCCAGTGATGGGTCAACATTCAACAGAATGTCGAACACTCTCATTGTACTTCTCATATGTTGTCACAAACCTGGTACAAATTAGCTGGATAATGAGCGAGGGGGTGAGGCAAGATGTCTTAATAAACATAAATCTTACTTAGGCTATGAAGGAAGCATGTCGGACATTTTTGGTCTAAATTGATGGAATCGAAGTCTTATTATATTCCTTCTATAGAAGGAAAAAAAGTGGGGAATGGGAAAATGACAAAGTTCTAGGAGGACTATTCGATTGTTAACAAACCTCTCGCTGTGGCATTTGCAACGTTACAGGCCACTACATTCTCTGGGGACATCAACAACCTATACTATGACCAAGGTTTGGATTTATTATGTTTATGTTGGAAATATGTCCTAGAGGCAACAATATTTGTATTATCATATTTCCGTATTCATAATTAAGAGTTCATATTCTATACTATAATTGTTATGATCCTGAAATATGCGATTCGGTGGAAAACTTATATGCACGTATGGAATGATAAACGGTTAAATAAAAGGTTCCTACTCTTGCCTACGTTTTCCAGATCTTAGGATATCATTAAGTGTAATCGATAGTCTTAAAACAACACTGAGGTTATGACGCTGGAAGAACAATCATATTGAATTGACCCAAACTTGTTTGTTATGAATTGAGTTTATATCGTCTGTAATCAACTTTAATAACACAAAGTGTTAACGTGTGATTTTGCTCCTTAGATCATGAGAGTATCGTAGTCACTTCTTACCGCCCAGTGGGCTTCGGGGTTGCTCAAACATCACATGTAACACGGTGATCATAACAACAACTTACAAGCTCATCAGGAAGTTTGACAAGGGACTAGATAGCTCGAGAGTGGGATTTGCTCCTCCGACGATGGAGATATATTCTTAGGGCCCTCTCGGTGGGATGGCATCCATCATCGTCTGGACAGAAAAATAGGTGACTACGTCACGGGAATGCCGAAACATGACAACAAGAAATAAGAACTAAATCGGTAACGAGGATAACGGTATAGTGAGCATGTGATGACTCGGGAGTCAGCAGGATACTGATGCATCCCGAGTTTTGTGAAGTATCCCCAAGCAAAGGGAACATCACATGATAACCAAAGGTTCACTCGAATATCATTTGTGTGCTCATAGCAATCGATATGGATGTCCACGGTTCTGCTATTGGTCACTGAACGAACGGTTACGTTCATGTCTACGAGTTACCAAACCTACGGGGTCACAAGATTAAGGCAATCACGATCTGCTGAGTGTTAGTACGACGGAAGTGATGAGAATATATTTGTGGAATTCTTTCATAAATATTCAGAATAGTTTCAAGAGGACCCAAAAGCGTCTCGGGGTCACCGGAAGGATTTTGGATGGCCAGAAATGTTCTGGTGTGAGGACACTTTGGTTGGGCCAAGGGGTAAGCCCATGAGGCTTTTAGGTCGGTGCAAAAGGGGTTTTGCGGGGACAGGGTGTTGGGGAACGTAGCAGAAATCAAAAAATTTCTACGCATCACCAAGATCAATCTATGGAGTAATCTAGCAACGAGCGGAAGAAGAGTGCGTCTACATACCCTTGTAGATCGC